CAAAAGATCGAAAGTTTTTCTTTTGAAAATGTTGTCTTTGAGAGGTTACAACTCCCTTCAAGTTTTGTTCCTTTCGCTGCTAATCAGCTCATTTTATAAACGCAAGCCAGTAGTATACGTCTGCTTAGAAAAGACTTGAACGAAGGAGTTCTGTGAACAAAAAAGATAGAAAATTCAAAATTGCTCACTTTTTCGAGTCTATCTGTGGTAGGCCAGAAACTCCCAAACTCTGGAAATTTGAAATTCTTCACCACTGAATAGCTAAGCTTTTCTGCAAAAATTGTGGAAAAGATGTCCTGGACTCAAGTATACAGAAATGAGCGAAGCTTCGGCGATTGCTCTAATTATAAGAAACTTTGGGTCCATAGAATGCCAGCAGCGAGTATCTATTTCAGGGTGTCGATTTCTCGGTCCAGATATTCTCGAAAAATCTACTCAAACATGCTATAGGTAAACAATGTTCAACCATTAAAGTAGCTATGTTTTAAAAAAAACCCGTTCTTTTGCGCCTGGATTGTGGTCAACAAAGTCAAAGCACTAATTGAGCGACTCATTAATCGTTGACAACTGACATAAGTCTCCATCAAACCTATGCGCTACCCAAGAGGTCTTGCAAACTTTACAAGTTTCATGCTTAAAAAAGATAATCAGATCTCACACATAGTTGAGAAGCGAAATTTGAATTGGTTGGATTCTGGACTTCTTGAATAAACATTATACTGAGCGAAAATGAGATCAGTGTGATCATTTGATTTTGACAGAGTGCGCTTCCACAGCATAAGAGGGACTGGACTGATGACATTGCTGAGCCGTCATTTGCGAAGATGCAAGAATTTTAAAAGAAAAGCCATTAAAGGAATTGTGGTTTTTTAGAATTTTGGCTAGGCAACGCTGATCGTGAAATTTGCAGGACACTTAGCAATGAATGAGCAGGGTTCGACATAAGATTGCTTTTAGTTTCTAGGAAACGAATACTTTGGTTAGACATAACAAAAAATTTTATGGACGATAAAAAGAGTATGATCCTCCAATGTTGGGCTCATTGTTGGCTCAAAAGCATCAAATTGTTCATTCTTTTCTCATTGCTCCGATAGGACTCGTGTGTAAGTTTAACAAATTTCAAGCTTATGGAATACGTATTAGTTCCAGAATACACACTCAAGGCGAGCAAAGCAAAACATGCCAGATTAATAAATTACTACAGTTCATTTTATCTGACTGAGTTCCGACGCCAACGCCGCCTTCAGAGCCTGTATTCAGAAATGTATATGCAAAATACTAGTTGATGCCTTCCTCATCGTAATTTTGTTGAGCAGCAAATCAGCAAAGAGCTATACCATTTCTCACCTTATTCCACGTCAATTAAGTGATCTGACTGCCCGTGGCCAAGCTGTGAATGTGATGGTATGCCTTTACTTTTCGGATTCTTTGTACTTCGACAATCAAAGCCGCAGAAGCTTTGAGTAACTATTCTTTGATTACTGTAATGAGTTCATCTTTTTCATTCATTTTGGGGTTACGTGATGTAAGTCAAAATGCTTTAAGTGTCTTGCGTGGGATAGCTCTTGCTTGGAATACAAGGTTGTGACAGCAGATTCAAACGACTTGCTATCGTGCGACATTCTGTTGTGTGCACTCAAGGGAGTGAACATTTTGTGCTTGGTAATCTAATCCGTTCCACAGATACAACTGACCTCCGCTCTCACCTACAAATTCTTCACCGCATAGTCAGCAAGTGATGACATAGACAACACACATTTTGAGCAGTCACCTGATCGTGCAAAGGGGCACATTACGATTTGACATTGAGCAAATGTTGTCATATGCGCGATCGCAAATTTGCTGCTCATTCAAATTTGACGGAGGATTTTCTGAAATGTTGCGAGCGTTTGATGCCTTTTGGAAGAGAATCGTGGATAAATCAAAAACTATATGTGATACTGTCTGACCTAAGCTGAGACTTCAAAAAAATTTTGATGGGTTGGTAGAGCAAAGACAAAAAGATTGCGGCCCTCTGCTACGTTCAGTCGAGGTAACTGTGCGGATTTTGAATGCCGGACAAGCGAGAGCGCCATCCCATGATTTATAAAAGTTTTAGGCGCGTGGCATGGGCAACAGGGCCTGACCTGTTGAGATCGGGCACGATAAGGTACCTAACGTGCCCGACATGGCCAAACTTTCCAGATCGGACCATGGCTTCGAATAGACAGTATCGTGGGCGTCAGTGCCCGCGCCTACACGGGCTGTAACCTGTGCAGGAACCCATTCTCATATAGAAGATTGATCGCTCCTAAAGAGCCTAATGCTTTTATAGATACAAAGTTCCGTCCATTTCAGCATTGCCTTCCCCCATGTCTGCGCGATACTTGCAAAACCGTTTACCTCGTAATCTCACTCCTGGTCGGTAAAGGTCTTCATGGTCTCGATGAAGTAAGTCAATGATGAGATCAAGATTTTATTCCCGCTAAAGAAGACAAGTTCACCGTTAAATGCCGTGTTTTGAAGCCGCAATAATCCAACTTCACCTAATTCATAACATTCTAGCCAGCCGTTGATGGAGAAAGAGTTTACGAAACAGTACAGGCGATTGAATATGGGTCAACCCTGCAGAAGAGTCGGATTGTCTAACACTCCTATCTGCCTTGAGCTACACGCCCTTGTCAAATCACACAAACTTTCTCCATCGTTCCTCTCTTCGACCATCCGCTAACCAATTAGGTTGTCAAGAAAAAAATGTCGTTTTTTTATTGATTTAGCAAAGCAACCAAGAAAGGCAAGTTGGGCTGTTCGATAGAGAAGCTAGCTTTAAAAGATGATATTCATGATTTCGCGCTATGTTTGACCCCAGAAAGTTTAAACTCAAAATCTAAAGATTTTTAAATCTGTCAAGAAACTCAAGCTTGAACAATGTTATCTCTACCCCGACGGAGAGGACGAGCTGGTCTTAAAGCCAAACGCTTCACGAACATGTTATTCTCTTCACCGCGAGCAAATGAAGCCGCCGCAATACACAAGGATTCTGACCTTCACCAGAAAGAACTCAATTTGGGTTGCATGATGTTTTACTATAAGAATAAAAACTGTTGTTTGCGATGGTTAATTAGTTTCAGGTGAAGCGGAATAGAAAAGATCTGTGTTAGATCACTGGTTCTGTAACAAAAGCCAAGTCACCTATACAAATTCGTAGTTGACAATCTATCAATTGTACCTGAAAACGGAATTTATCTAAACAGTCAAATATTCTCTGAAGAAAATTGGGATTTCTTCACTATTCGCTATGAGATAACTCTGCGTCATCAAAGATTTTAAGCTCAGGTTTCAATGAAAAATCAAAAAAGCCTAGGACTTTCCAGTTTTTTTTTACAGTAAGTTTCGACCCGCTTTAGACGGAAAGTGGAGTGGCGGGCGTTCGCCTCACAATGATTGCGCCGTTTCGCAGCTACAGTATACCATATCGTGTCAAGAACTCAAGTCTGCATCTCTTCATTCCCCTTAGTCTTTGCTCGGCAAAAAGCTAGCGCTATGCGCTCGCGAAGCCTCCAGCGATGCACACGTACTGCTTTACGCAGAAGTATCGCCTAATCCGGAAAACCGACTGTAGCTCAATAAATCGAGTTGACGGATTAAATTCGCCGCTTCATCGTTTGTACACGCTCACTTTCAAGTGAAAAGGCAATTATGTGTGCACCAACTTAGACAATTTTTCAAAGTTTCGTTGTTTGTGACTAGTGAGCAGAACACGGATTGCGCACTACGCACCACTGTGGGTGGGTCATTCCATACGAGGTATAACCTATTTCGCAAATCTTCAGTGAACCAGTTAATGAGAGCATGGCTTCGTTCAGCTCATGCTGTACAATTTTAATGTTGTATTCGTAGAAACCCGGCTTTCTTCGTAGTTACTGGCGTTTTAATTGTGTCTAATTTACTGTATCTGATCCAACACAGTGATAGGCCAAAGCGAATAGGAGGTATTTGTGGCATTATTAGGGGCAACATATGGATTGGTAGAATGCTTAAACACACTGCAATCAATATTGTTTAGCTTTTAACTGATCTGCTATCTCTTCGGATGCTAATTATGTCGAGCTCATCACTATATATTGTTCAGCCAGCTGTAGGTAGCAGAACTGAGGATAATGAGCTCGAGATTATGTTGGTAGATTTGACAGCTTCGCAGATCAATCACATGATTGGTTTGGGAGACTTCAACTTCCCGTTGACTGGAATGATGTCATTTTAGTGTAAAGTTCGAAACAGTTGATGGAGTTATTTTCAATTGTGGGTCTACACAGTATGTGCTTGATCACGATGGTAGTATCCTTAGATTTCATTTTCTTTATCAATGACGCAAGGCCATCAAAGTATTTCTCTTTATTGCTACTGCTAATGACAACCATTGTAATTCATGCTACAGGCAGCTACACTGCTAAAACGAAATGTACTATCTGTGTCGTCGATTAAGTCGATTATCTTGGACTAGTCGGTCTCTTTTCTAATTTTGATTGGACTTTCTTGCTTGCAGATCGTACCTCTATAGACGACACTTATCTTAAAGGCAGTGGGTCAGCAAATTGGCAACTTTGAGGTGCATCGTTTTTCTTTCCTAGATGGACTGGGTCTAAAACTGTGCTTTGCAGCTTCTGAAGATATTATTGACTTTTTCGGGCGTGCAAAGTGCCGCTTAAGCGGAAGGCGAAAGGTCTCTCTTTGCAGGTCGGTTGGCTGCTGAAGCCAATGTTACGAACTGTGGCCACTGCCTTCGAATTCTGTGCCAAAGTCTTCGAAGAACTCGTTTCAGCAGCTAAAAGTCGCCAGTAGCTCACCGAAGTCTTTAGGGTTGAAATGACAAAAGTCACTGTACAATGACCTGCGCTTTGTACTTTATTTGAAAAAGACCAGTTTGGAAAGCTGCGATTATCTTTTGCTCCTTTGTGATGCATAAAGCATAAGTTTTATTTGTAATTAAGTAGCATTTGAAGCTAAAATTTATTTGCGAATCACATCACAGACAATCGTTTTTGCTCTCGTGATGGTGACATCAAATTTAATTCACTGCTACTTCGCCTATCTGGAGCAGTTGCTAACTGCTTGGATTCTCGTAATAGTCGCTCTTGGAGCATTGTCTCAGGACCTATAAAATGACATAGATTCAAAAAAAAAACATCGAAAAGTAGTTTGAAAATTAAATTTACCTTTATGTTGTACGCATGCCTCTTGTGGAACTATTTCGATATTTTCCTTTGATTGTCGCAGGGCGATGTCTAGAATCCAAAATTTTTGTTGTCAATTCAAAACAGAGAAAGATAATCGAAAAGATTAGTAGATGAAAATCAGATTCTGGTGAATCCTGATTTTTGTGGAATCGTTATATAAATGAAAATTTTGGTATTTTTCACTAGTGCTTGCCATTTTTTGATATAGCTCCTCGTTATAGCGGTATTTTAGATCTAACAGGGAGGTCCAGTTGGTCGAAGTGGCCTTTTCACATAAGACTGATACGACTATAAAGAGCATCGAACGCTGATTCCAAATCCGTCTTCGTTATCTGCCGAGCTCCTCTAGACGTCGAGTTAAGGCGCTTTTTGAGTTCATAAATTGAATGCATAATTAGAACAAAATTTGTTGGAATTGCTTAAATGGTCCAATGTTGATTATCAGAGCACCCCATTTTAATAATATCTTCTGTCCAAAACCCTAATACTTAACACTGCTCTATTTGAGCGCTGAGAAGGCCGTAAAATTGATTTTACCTAGATTATGCGTTCATTTTTCGCACCAAGAAAATGTCCATAACTCGGCATGCAGAAGCGCTCGGCAGATATTGAAATCAGATTTGGAATCATCGTTTGATGCTCTACATAGTGGTGTAAGACTCATTTGGAAAGGCCACTTCGACTAATCGGACCTCCCTTGTAAGAAAATAGTTATTTAACAATATTCTGTTTTTCCATGCCTTTTTTTTTTATCAAATCATTGCTTCACCACTTCAAGATATTCTGCCTAAGAGGAAAACATCGGGTTTTTGAGATCAATAATTTTTACTATAAACGAGGTAGGCTGTAGTACAATAGGTATAGATTCACTCTTTTTTTTCACGAAATAGTTTTATATTAGGGTGTCCCATAATTATTTACCGTTTTTACATCAAACATCAGCATTTCTCGAGAAATGAGGGACCTTCAAAATTTTTAAATACATGATCGCACTTCTGTATGTATGAGCTATATGATCACGTGTGTGGGAGGAGCTCAGGACTTCTATGCAGAGTTTGCCGTTTTACCTTACTCATTTTTTTCTTTATTTCTAGCCATGGAAAAAATTCGAAAAGTATGCAATCGAATGTGCGATGTGTCAAGCATATGTCAGAATAAATTTGAAATTTTTTAGATACTTTGGGGCGGAGATACGATTTTTAAAGGAAAAGTTCGTTTATGACTACTACCATATTTCAGCCCAAAACTTTACGTGGATTATGATTTACGCAGACTCTTGATAGCCATTTTGTAGAGCCTGCTTTGCCCTATCGAATGCTTACTCAAGCCGCATCAGATGAAGGATAGATACAAAAAGATGACCGTCAAAGTAAAAACGGTAAATAATTATGGGACAACCTAATAGATTCATTTTCTAAGCCAATTTGTAAAGCGCCAGAAACTGTCTCTAATAAGGGAATGGAAGCAAACATAACGTGGCTGAATTGTAGAAGTTTATACGGGGATGAACTCTCACTTTCTAAAATTTGTAGAGACAGCCAAAATTTGAGTTTTGTTTTCATTTCTATGGTTTTTTCCAAATTCCGTGACCGCTTAGACAAGTTCAAATCTCTTTTGCCATTTCAAGCCGTTATCTTCTCTTCTTTCAGCAAAGAAACATGATTTTTCGGGAAGATGAAATTCTTGACTGCGTGTTTTGCTTTGACAACTTAAATGAAGAAGCAATATCTTCGTTTATTAAGATAAGATCGTTAAACCACGTTGTGACCACTTTGCCATAAAACTAGAGCAAAGAGATTCCCTTCCCCCCTCCCCTCCCCCCAACTCAGATTTTTGATCTCTAGTTTTGAGTATGAATACTAGATTGGACACTACTCTCTGGCTTAAAATAGCCTTATTGAATGCGGGACATTACCCCCGGGGATTCATGTAACTAGCCTTGTCGTTGAAATTTCGTTCGAGCAAAATTATCGCTTGCCTCTTTCATTACGGTAAAAGTCGAAGTGAAAGCCGTTTGTAACGACATGGTCACATGACTGAAGAGATGGTAGGTTTTGCATTTTTACTTTTTTGGATTGGCAGTCATTATGTGGGGCAATTCTTGCAGTTGAAGAAAGGAAAGAAAGAGAGACAAATATGAATGAGCTTGGTTGGTTAGCTCCCTAGACAGCTATAAAATTGTGAAGCAAGTAAGAAACAAACTGAAGTTAGTCGAAAGGATTGAAAATATGAGAAAAACTAAGAAAACTGATGATGTTAATCCTACAACTTTAGCCATAATTTCTCTTTTTCCAATAAATTCTTGAGCCTTAGCCGCTTTTTCCTTGCCATCTGATATATTTTTGAAATGCTTTTAAATTAAGGCTGAGAATCTTCTGCTTATCTATTTTTTGCTGACGAAAAGCATAGATCATTGAATGAAAACAAAATGCTCACAGTTTTTTTTTTTTTTGAAAAATCTCATCATTCCAGGAGCGACAGTTCGAAAAATTTTATCATTCTAGCAAGTGGTTTCCCTTTTCAAAACTTAGCACTAATTAATTATCTGTCAATCTACAAAATTTATAATCAATTATAAATTAATTGCAATTAATCACAATCACAAATGTAATTAATTACAATCTACTAATTATTGATTATTAATTGCAATCAATTACAACTAAACTCACTTCTTAAATCATTTGTGACGCTGTTGGAGGAATGCATTTTCCGTCCATTAAATCAATACATAAGTTGAAACTATCAGAGGAAATAGTGATTCAGCAGAAATATCAAATCTGCAATTTTGCGATTGCAAACCACTTTCTGAAACAAAAACGATTTGATTTTGGCGAGAACAGCGGCCGAATGCCTCGGAAAACCCATTACAAAGTTGAGGCGGGAACCATCAAGCGTAAGTAAATACATGATAAAAATCATAGAGGTAAAAGGGTAGAAACAAAATTTTGCTCGAGATTCAAATTCAGATCATGAAAAATTTTCAAGGACTAAAAACGAGTTCGATCATGAAGAAAAGAATGAGTTATCAGTCTTCCATCTGAATGTACTAACTCTCAATCTCTGCTGCACTTTTTTCATAAAATAACTACGCATCAAAAATCGTGAACTCTTATCTGAAGTTGACTTGAACGCACTAGATTTGGAAATACTCATGCCAAAGAGTGTCCAGCTTTTGAAGGATTAGTTTTGAGTGAAATCGGTTCCCTTGGGTGCTCCGTTGAAGCTTACATACCCCTAGTCTAAACATGTCTTTTAGAAAACGGGGGCGGTGAGGATTAGTCAGTCTAAACAAGCGGGAAGGTTTGTAAATAGTCCTTTCACGACACCAGCCAAAAAGGGAAAGGGCTTATAAGATAAAAAGACAGATTTTTTTGCCTTCTGAAGCCACAAGAAGACAAATTGCACTTATACTACGTTATATGCTAACGTGATGCACCCAAATATTTGCCATTTGCAAAAAAAATGGAAAAAAAGAGCAAGTTCAAGTTGAATGACTTTCTGTCAACAGAGACCTTACGGGATTGGGATTATGTTCATATCTAGGGATAGATAATTGAGAAAAGAGCAGTCATCGTAATCGCAGGTAATTTGTCATGAAAGGCGCATTTATTGTCCAAATATCCTTGCCAAGAAGCGAATTACTCCTCTCCCTTACCCTTCTATCCCTTATCCATCCCAGCCTGAGCATAGGAATAGAACTGCTGTTTAACGCTAGATTTGTTACAAATAATTTTATCATTTTTGTAATCGTCATAATCTGATGAGTCAAAAATACCTCTCACAAAATATCGTTTACATTGTCACTGCCTTTCATGATAGCCATTCTGGAAAGGTTGTCAAATGAGTCTAGTATAGTACCAATTTTACGAAACCTCAGACGCAATGGAGAAATGCGTAAGAAACGGAATACCTAGAGAAATGTCAATTACCCTATTTTTAGGTGTATAAGCCGCGGGGTGGCCCTAGCTTACATCGACCAGCCCGAGCACATCAAAGGACCTAGCAAAGGACCTATACACCCTTCTTTCACCCACCAAAGAAGGGTGGGGTGTATGTCCTTCTGAACCGCTCCGTCCTAGCGCTAATTACCTTGCTCCAGAGCGGCGGTAATCACTTTGCCTTATAATCTAACACGAAGCAAGTGAGTGCTTTCGGTCGATAATAATGTCGGTGTTTTATAAAAAGACAAAAATTGGGGAAGATTGAGTTTTTTTAGTCTTTATTTCGTAATTTCCTCGTCGCAGTTCTCCAAATTACCGCAAAAATTGCACATGTAAGCTGAAAATCTATGTAAGCCACAAACGTGCTAAATCTGATTCCCATGTTGAAACCCTTTGATTCTTCTTTTTGAAAAAGTGTTTCTACCTAACTCTGCCAGTTTGAGAGCGCCTGCGTTTCCAACGACAGCGTAGCTCTCTCAGGTAGCGCTGACCAATCAGAGGCGCGCAGTAATTAGGCTGCTAAGGCTAGCGGTACAGAAGGGCCGTCTCCCATCAAAGAACCCTAAACCACGCTGCGTATTGCCAGAAAGAATCGTGCGGCATAAGGATCGCTTCTCGAAACACAATGAAGCGGCTGAGCAGCTCGTGGGAAAATTTGAAAAAGTGCGGCTTTTAACCTGAAAATAGGGTAAATAATTTCAACTATAATCATAAAGCTTTGAAAAAGAAAAGCAACAAGCTTGGTATCAATTATAGAAAGACATCTGTTAAACTATATCCAGCGAAGGTGACGATATTTGTGCGAAAAAAAATCCCATGGCGATTAGCACACAGCAAACGCATGAGAAACACGGGAGTTTTATGATAGCTGTCAGAAAAGATTTTATTATGCACAGACTTTAGTGCCCCAAGCAAGTAGTTATAGAGGGTCAAGGAGCTTGTTATATGATTTCTAACCCAAAACATCGCATTTTGATCGAAATTATTTTTAAAATATTCAAGATGTCAAGGTGCAACAATCCTTTCAATTTGAGAAGGCGAAAAGTTAAGGAATTTTGTGAAAAAAGTAAGACACCTAAGTGTATCAGCACTGTCCTATGTACCGAATGATCGATAAGAACATCATGAGGACTTGGAACAGAATTTTGAGGTGAACAAACCCCGTGCGAGCGCACCCGCCTTCTCAATCCGATACTAACCACTTTTGAATCAGCGGCTTCGCTACTCGTAATCTTGTCATGGCACAGGAAATTGGCCGCGAGCGCAGCTGGCTTCTTGTTTCAACGGCTAACGTGACAGAAGTAGGAAGGAAGATTTATTTTTTTGTGGAAAGGATGACGCGGAAAGCAGTTGTCAGTCTTATGATGAGCATCGAGGAAGCGAAATAAAGTTACTTTCAATTAGAAGGAGAAGTGCTAAGTTGCGGGCGATTTCTGCAGGGTAAGCGCACAATCAGATTTTGGAAAGAAGTTCAAAAACTTTGCAATTCTTGCAAAAAGCTACAATCAAGAGATTCCTTTCGCAAATGCGATCAAGTTGAAGATACATTTTGTCTAACCCTTAAACAAGCCTTTGTATGACAAAAAATGTAACTGCTGTTTATGGTATTGGCACGGAAATTCTCATTGAAACTGTATTAAAACTACATATTGGCTTTCAATCAAATCCGCAGCCGTTTTTCATTGTTGACTGTCGAATTGGAAACATATTTTACGAGTGTAAGCAGTCTAAATGAGAATGAATGAGAATGCAAGTTTAATCGACGAAGGTACAATATCGCTCATAGAAGATGCAAAAATTCCGTGATTATCGCGCAGTTTCGGGAATTCTGCGGAAGTACGAGACATCCACGGAAATTTCGCACATTCTGTGAGCGGTATTGTATCTCCATAGGAGTTATTGACCCCAAGAGTTGGCGGACAAACATCTTACTTTTTTAATAGAAATAAAATGTAAAAATCGTTCTGCAAAAGCCGAGGTTTATATAGTCCAGCGCTCAAATGAAAAATTCGATTGTTTCTTGAAAGGTCAGCTTCCGACATAAAGTGCATCATTGTCAACTTGATGGACGAGAAGGTCAACCTTGTCATCTATTAGTTCAGAATACGTCCACTTTTCAGAGAAATTGCAAAGGGCTAATTTTAAATTAAGGCAAAAGTTCTATTTTTCACTTGATGTGATGAAGCACAACATTTCGTAGACATGCATCAAAATTCGGCTCGATGGCTCTTTTTACGGAACAACTTCGAGGAGGAAATTAAGCCATTAAAAGCGGTATTCTGCTTCAGAAAAAAGGCCAAACAAAATGCTCACTAAATGGGAGTTAGCCATGAAACTAGCCAGAAACTCTTGAACAGGGCTAATCGAAGTCGCTGAATTTTAAACATAAAATTTGCATCAGTATAGTGCTTCTTCCATGAGTTATTTACAATTTAGGGTAACAACTGTTTTTCGAGTGTTTGTCAGAAATGTGAGTACGCGCCATTAAGGAAATTTGAAAAACTGCTGAAAACTCATGTGGTGAAATCAGCACGCATGAGAACCTTGCTACACAAATTTTCAGATTTTTGGAACTTCATAAGACCTTTTCCATAGTGACGCTGTACGCTGAAAGTTCATACCGTAATCCTACAGTGATGAAGAGTAATTAGTGATTTGCTCCATATTGCAAATTTAAGAGAACTTCGCTCTACAGAATGGTGCTTCCAGCTCGGCAAAAGACATGAAAGCAGCAGAGTTATTGACGATCAAACAATATGAACGTCTTTTTGGGACACTCTGTATAATGCTCACTGAAAATTTAATCGCAAGTTTCAGACTTTTAGCAACCTTAACTCAACATGACTGATGTTGAAATAATCGTATTCTCCTGTTTCCATCTCAAAAAATTTCCTTGGAGGTCATCATATTCATGCCACTCCAAAGATGGCTTGAACATGATGACCAGGAAGGATTCTATACGTGACATATGTGCTCAGTGGACACAGCCACCATCAGCATCAATACATCCTTTTTGCCTTTCGGAGGCAAATATGGGGACGGAACATATGGCGGACCGCTCTAGAACAAAGTGCAGGGGAAGGCATGGAAATTCACAACGTGTAGTTAAAAATTTGGGTTGGTATAAAGATCTCTCAATGAAGACTTATATACAATTGATTTCGTGGTCCTTCAATCTTTGCCTATATGAGAAAGTCTTGCAAAAACAGCATTTTGTCACGTTACGCATCTTTTTTGAACACTAGCAGAATTTTGTAGCAGGGTTTCTTGACTTACTAAGGATGATTACATGTTCCAAAAAATGTTGAGAAAATATTGAAAATATCGTTATTCATCGAGTCTTGATTAAGAGATGGCTTCAACTTGAAAAAACGTTTCAAAAAGATTAAAGACCAGAAATTACTAGAACCAGAAATTTTTAGGCTTCCCTGGGAACTGCTGACGAGGGGCACCAGGTAAGCTAAACTGGATAGTGTTCAAAAATTCAGAAAGAAATTTTTAAGACTTTTGCATGTGTCTAGTATTTTATTTATCAAATCGTTAAACATTTTGTTACCTACTTATTACTGTACGTAACAAAATATAATAACATCCCAGCAAAATATCTACCATTTAGAGAATCTGCAAGCCCACTGGAATATTTTGTAAAAGGGGTTAATGACCCGATTCTTCCAGCAAATTCTTTGAAGCCGTTCCAATTAAAAACGCGTCTTCGATTACTAGGGCAATAGTTCTGATAGCTGGCCCAACTTATGAAATAGAAGTCACGGAAGAGTCATATTTTTAGTATAAGCAAAGTTAGCAGCACTTTCAGACATTCGGCGAGAAATTTTATCAGATGACTCTTTATACTACTACA